GCGTGTGTATGGGCGTCTCTCTCTCTCTCACTCTGTCTGTTGCCTGGCTCTCTGTCTCTCTGTCCTTATCCCTCCCCCACTCTCGTGCCCCCCACGCGAACAGATAGGAGTGCGCGTGCGCGCCCGCCGCCATTCTGGCTTGCAGTGCACACTTACGAACTAACACGTATACAAGTCACCGAGCGCGTTCCACTACTCGGTTAGTGCCTACTCGCAAACGTCCGAAAACACACATGCCTGCTATGTAAATTATCGTAGATCCCCCGCGGCGGATCCAGGCCACTTGCGAGTAGTTACTTTGCGAGTAGTGGAACGCGCTCGTCTAATAAGGGAAAATGCCCGCCGTTATGTTCTTACCTCGAAGAAGGAAACACGCCAGAAATTTACCTTTTGGCGCTCCGCGCGGATTGCTTGGATCCGCGCTGGGGCCCCCCGGCGGCGCCTCCGGCGCCGCCCCCCGGCGCTCTCCGCGCGCCAGGGAGGGGGGTCCGGCGCAGAACCAAGAAATCCGCACGGAGCGCCAAAAGTTTATGTTTCTGTCGTTCTTCTTCTTCTCCTTCTTCTTCTAATGTCCTCTTCTTTTCACCCATGCCACCCGCAGCTGTAGTGTCGGCGTCACCCCAACATACCAGTACGATGTGTGCGTCCCTCCCCCCTCAGGGGCGACGGGCGCAGCTAGACATCTTATGGCATATGCCTCGTGGCGTGCGCTTTCTGGCCACACCGCTCGGGAAACGATCTACTACAAGATGTGTATACTATATGTAGGAGGACATGTAGCATAGTATGCCTCTGTGCGTCCAATAGTCCCCCCCTCCCTCCTCTCCCCTCCCCTCCCCTGCCTCCCTGCCTCCCTCCGCATCCCCTGTCTCCCCTGCCTCCCTGCCTCTCCTCTCCCTCTCCGCCCCCTCTCCTTCCCTGCCTTTTTGCCTCCCTCCCTCCTCCGCCCCCTCCCCTCCCCTCCTCATCTTCATCCGCCTTCCCACCCAGCGGCTTGACAACAACGACGACCTCGACGACGTCGGCGACGACGACGACGATTTGGACGACTTGGATGACTTGGACCACCTGAACGACGACGACGGCGACGACGACGACGACGGCGGCGGCGGCGACGACGACGACGACGGCGACGACGACGACGACGACGACGACCGGCGGCCACAGGCGCAGCGGCTGCTGGCGCGCAGGCGCATGGCCGCCGCTGGCTTCGTGCAGCGCCGCGACCCGGAGCTGCCGCAGCTGCGGCGCGCCCGCCGTTTGGGTCGGTCGCTTCGGGGGTGGCGGCAGGGGCCGAGAAGGACGAGGAGGATCTCAGGGCCACCTCTCGGTAGCAAATCATGGTAGCCTCGTGTACCCTCGTGAATTTGTCTTCGGCGTCGGCTCGCGTCGATTTGCGCCTGCGAGTCGGTGAGAGCGCCGAGTTACCGCCGACTTAGCGCCGATTTAGCGTCGATGAGCGTCGATTTAGCGTCGACTAGCGCCGACTCGCCAGAGCCGACAAGATGGCATGGGAGGCTTCCATGAGTTGCCACCGAAGGGCCACCTGCTCCCCGCTCTGGCTCTTCCTAACCGACCTCTTTCGTTCGGAAGGAACAAAAACACAGACACACACACACATCATCGTCGATTCACAAGCAAGTATTGCAAACTCGGTAATCAACTGGAGGGGAAGACGGACATCCAGGAAGTATGGATAACGTGCGGAATCCTTGTACCTGCGCCTATCTATTTGCCTGTCCTTGGGCCCATTCGTTCGTGAGGAGCCCTGTTCGCGACGACCGCCTCGCTCTCGAAGCTCTCCTCTGGCCGCGTGCTCGCGCCTCGGAGCGAGGCGAGAGGGTCCTCACGGAGGGGTCGACTTGCGAGGGCTCGGCCAGGCCGCCCCTGACCTCATCGAGAATGCAGTGGAAACCCATGCCAAGAAACGCCCTGCGTGCCTCCAGGGTGCCCTGGGTTTCTTGGGCTTCGATGGCTTTGCTACGAAGCAGTGACGTTCCCAGGGTCTCAGGGTTAGGTTCCTTGTGGAAGGTTTCTTGTGGTCGGACTCCTACTGGAACCCGAATCACACGGTGAAGACGTCACCTCACTGAGGCCCCGTTCTCTGCACCATGGATCACAATTCTGGGTGGTCTGATTCGATACTTTTGCAGAACAGACCGCCTGCCCACCCTTCTCTGAGCCTCCTAACTCTGGCCCGCTCCCAAAGACTTCGGGCCACCTTTCTTTCTGCTCGTGTCATCGTGACCCTTCACCCTTCCAGCCCCGGCGATTGGAGACGGGGCCCCGCCGCAGCCGGCCGCCCGACCCGAGGCCCAGGGCCCCAAAACGACCAGAGACCTCCCGTCGCGAGCATGTCTTGGGAGGAGGAGGCAGGAGGAGGAGGAGGAGGAGGAGGAGGAGGAGGAGGAGGAGGAGGAGGAGGAGGAGGAGGAGGAGGAGGAGGAGGGGGGGGGGAGGAGGGGGAGGAGGAGGAGGGGAGGAGGAGGAGGAGGAGGAGGAGGAGGTACAGTGGGGGCCCGTGCCAAGAAGCGCCCTGATCGCCTCCAGGGTGCTGGGTCTCTGGGGCTCCGAGGGTTTTTTGCGAGGGGAAGCGTCTTTGGGAAGCCGGCCAGCAGAAACGCGGGGGACCGGGCACCTGGCAGCAAGTTTCTTTTTGTTGTTGTTGGTGGTGGTCGTTGTTGTTGGTGGTGGTCGTTGTGGTAGTGGTGGTGGCGGTGTTGTTGGTTGTTGTGGATGTTGAGGTTGTGGTTGTGGTGGTGGTTGTGGTTGTGGTTGTGGTTGTGGTTGTTGTTATTATTGCTGTTGCTGTTGCTGTTGCTGTTGCTGTTGCTGTTGCTAATGTTGTTGCTGTTGCTGTTGCTGTTGCTGTTGTTGTTGTTGGTGTTGTTGTTGTTGTTGTTGTTGT